AAGCGCCTGAACAGACGGTTATAACTGAGGGCTAGCAGACTGCGGACTGAGGATCTCGAACTGAACAAGTCTGTGTAGCTCAGGTATCATCGCGTGATAATAAGCCCGTCTTGCTTACCGGAACAGCATCCCACTGGCCCGCAGGCGCCGCACGCTAGACATCGACCGGTCAGTAAAATCAGCGGCCTGTCCGACGAATCTGTTTCGAGTGCCGGAGAGCGAGTCCCGCCCGAGAAGACAAATTGCTGGCGGTGGCGCCATGTCAGCTGTCGCACAGTCTTGCTCAGCTGACCGATGGAGCCGAAACAGAGTGGGGAGCGCGTGCGCCACGGCTGCCGTCGCCAGCCGCGCCGGCCCGCAGTGACGCGGCGCGCCGAGTGTCGCAGGGGCGCGTCCAGGGCCCGAGCCACACAAAATCAGCTGAGATAGGGTGGTGAGCGTTCTTTGTGGTTATTCCAGCATGTGTCTTGCTAAATTTCCTGGGACTTCAACGACTGATAATGATTTGCATCACTCGCAAAGTCGGTCTCAAAGTGGCGAAATCACATAAAATGTCTTCAGTACAATGATGCAGAGGCATGTGCAGGGCTTCGCTATTGAAGAGCACAGCTCATTTTGTTCCATAGGAAAGCGTTAAAGCGTCCTGCATGTGTCCGAACTTTCTTACATGGCACAGAACATTGCATGCACCCAGTGAACCTGTTGCATGTCTACCTCGATTTGTCATGGCAACATTTATTTACATGCATGTTAATGCATGTAGAAGATCGATGAGTGGGCACGAACCCCCCGCGCCCCCGCCTTCATTCCCGCCTCTTGAACATGTCTTTTGTGGTGGTAAGTGCTACAAGCTTAAGCAGCAACGCTACTCGCACGCGTTCACACATTGAAGGTGCATGCGGTGGTTTGGGCGCTTTGATGGAAACAAGCACGAACCTAATCGTCTGTTGGTCAGGATCGGTGTGTCAGAACATGAACATTTCCAAGAACCACTTTGTAAAAGGAGCGTAACTACATTTCTCTCACGAGGGCCCGCTGCGGTCTTGATCTCATCAGAACAGACAGGGTTCTCTCGCTTCTCCTCAACTGTCACAGGGCAACTGGAAATTTAACACTACCCATATCCCTTAGCAATTACAGCCCTTAGGATCCGGCACTGGAGTTAAACACAAAGCATGGGTTTGCCTCATATCATTGACTTGTAACCGTATGGCATCACCACTTTAGTGGACTTCGAACGCTCTGACGAGAGGTCGCTGACGAGGAAATTTAGAGATGTGGGGTGAGGCGAATTATGAGACTGACACGCCGAGGGGCTGACAAAGCAGGGAGCTGAATAAACGTCTAACGGTGCCTTTGCCTGGTAAATCTTCCTCTAATATTCGTAACAAATAATTTTCACGAATGATTAAATGTTCAGAGCATCTGCTAAGCAGCGCTTGATGTCTGTACCGTGAGCCCACCACCCAAGCCAGGCTGATCCAGTTCACCGGAACAGCACTGCGTCCGGCCTCTACCCGACACGACTGCAGAGGAGTTTACACGCCACACCGCGCTTCGACAAGGCCACGGCAGGTCAGGCTGATCTTCTCCGGCCAGTCACCAGCTGAACGTCTCATGTCAGTCGGCCGAGCAATGTGTCCGCTCTTGTACTCCGCGCCGTTGAGAATTATGAGCCCAGCATCTTTCCCCAGGAGCGTGGAGTAGCAAGCCCACTGAAATGACGACCTGCAGAACTAACTGACAAGTGAACAAACCGACGAAATAGAGAACTGGCTAGCTGAGAAATTGCCTAACTGTTAGGCCAATGGACTGCGAGGCTGGGGAGCGGACCAGCTGACAGCTGAGGAGCTGACCTACTGTCAGGCTGGGGAGCGGACCAGCTGACAGCTGAGGAGCTGGCTAACTGTCAGGCTGGGGAGCGGACCAGCTGACAGCTAAGGAGCTGGCTAACGGTCAGGCTGGGGAGCGGACCAGCTGACGGCTTAGCAGCTGACTTACTGTCGGGAGTTGACAGCTGAGGAGCTCACTAACTGCGAGGCTGGGCCGTTGACAGCTGAGGAGCTGACTAACTGCCAGGCTGGCGAGCGGACCAGTTGACAGCTGGGGAGCTGGCCAGCTGTCAGGCTGAGGAGCGGACCAGCTGGCAGCTGAGGAGCTGACTGTCAGGCTGGGGAGCGGACCAGCTGACAGTTGGGGAGCTGAAGACCTCGGCTGCGCAGCCGCGATCGTTCGCTCGGCCTGCGTCGGCCTCTCGCCGTATCGTCAGCGGCGATCGCGATCCGGCGCCAGTCACGCCAGATGTGTCGCCGCCGCCGACCGGCGGTCGTCGCGGCCGGCAACAAAACGCCCATCGATCGGCGGCGAGCGCAGTCTCGGCCCGGGCGCCGAGACGCGAGTGGCGCGCTGCCGCGGCCCCGCCTCATGTGCAATCAGGCGGCGGTGGCGCGCTCCGCGTGCTGGCGTCAGCGGCGCCCCCGGCGATGTCACTGACGAGCGCGCCTACTTTGTGCCGCAGGCGCCGGCGCCTCGGAGGAACGCTGTCTGCAGGGGACACGTGACATGCCGGCGGAGAAGCGAATGGATTGGGCGCTCCGAGTTTGAGGCGGATTATGCTGACACGTCGAGAGCTGTGGTTTATTTTGCGTCGTAGTGGTCCAAACATGGATTTTATATGGATCAAACCCTCTCAAAATGTTTTTTTCAAGACATGTGTGGAGAAAACGGTAGTATCTTTTAACCACTGATAGAGGTCCTGCTTTCCGCCTATCGTTTCCTCTTTAACCCTATTCCCTGCCAGGCAGGGTAGATACTAGCCTCTCTAATGGTGTTTTGCTTGCCGCTCTTGAATCATTCGCCGTGGCGTCACGCAACTTTTGTGACTTTTCGTGGGAATAAAATAAGCTTGTTGCCCTAAATTCTCAAAACTATGCCCAGCAGAAGCGGGTCCAGGCCATTCTAGAGGATGCAATCTGCAAGTGCATGAAGGGCAACAAACGTAAGGGCGCCAAACCTACGTTATATTCTAAGCTAACTTTGAAGACGGTACATTTATTCCTACAGTCATATACATCATAAACAATGAGCATGAACACACGTTTTCGGACAGACGCTGTAAAATTGGAAGCGTGCTGGTCCATAACCGGCGCAATTTATGGAACTTCGCGACTTAATTTGCAAAGTATGTATGACGAAACACGCGTATGTCCCAAGTTGGACCGCGTTTGTTCCGTGTGAATGGACAACAAAAAATGAGCATAGTTATCTTTAAGAAATCCAAAATTCTGTTTTTATATCTCTTGAAACCTAGTTTGAAACGTTTCGACATTTTCTGTTGAAGAGATGAAGATCTTGTTCAGGCATATCAAATAACCTTTTCACCAGAATAAGATAATAAGTTGTTGGGGTCTCTTTGGTCAGCAGAATTCGTCCTTCCCGCAGGATAAAAAGAAGATCATAGGCAACGGGGATAAGATCAAATGCAATGTTTTGGAATAATTAGGATTTTACCATACGCTCCGTGGGAATACGGTATCATTATTGCAATGTAGGTGAATAGACGGATTAGGGGTATAGGTGCCCAGCACCTTCACCAACTCCGAGCAGCTTTGGACATTAACTCCATGGCGGTGCTTAGAAAGAAACGAGGCAAAACCACATCAGCCCCCATCTCCACAGAGGTTCCACCAGCACTGCAATTTGGTGTCCAAGAGATGACTTCCAAACGCAGGACCTTAGTATCGCCATGCAAGTGGCTATTCAGTCCTTTGTTGGCGCAAGCTTTGGTTAATAACCTGCATCAAGTTGAATATGCCAACGAACATGAATACTACATGACCCATGTCACTAGAAAGCTGTATCTTTTGAAGCATATCAGTCTGGAAGTGTTTTTTTTGCCAGCCATTGGATCTTACCGCGCCTTTCTTTCTTGAAGCCTTTGACTCAGCATGGACCGTACGGGAAGCTCATATTAGTATTGAATGCCAGCGCCGCGCCAAGGCATGCGTGCTATAACGCGAGGGCACAGTTAATGAAACCCTTTGGAAAAGAGGCAAGATTTCCGCGCCTCACAGACAAAGCATTTGTTGGAGTTGAATAGTTGCTGTTTTGAAGCACCTTTATCCCACGCTGAGTGCGTACGATAGCAAAACAATGATTGCCCAGTTGCCCAGTCTCTTAAGCAAACCAAAGTGCTTTTTATGAAACATGTCAAGTTTAAACACTTCGGGTAGGCCAGTTCAGTTACGTGAGCATATCCAATCAGCTAACAGAGCGTTTTGGTGGGTTTGATAGCAGCATGACCCGTATGACAAAATAGCAGTTACTAAAAGCCCACGCAAACACACAGTTGTGATGTTTCGCTCTTTTGATGGGATTTGGCGCCACAATTCGCAGCTAATTTGCCAGCTCGACGATTTATGGGCGCATATTGCAAGAAACCACGCCGAGCCCTCTCCCTCGAGCTCGCGACGCCGCTGGCTGCCGGGCGTCGGTGTCACCTAGCCAGCCTGGCCTCCGCCGACAGCACCCTCGGGACCTGTCGCTGTGTGCCCAGCCATGCCTGACCGGACAGCGCGAGCATTGGCCAGCCAGTGCGCCAGCTCGGCTCACCCACGTGCCCCAGACGTGCCGACGACGCCGGACAACGACCCTTGTGCAAACACCGCCCGGCCACACGTCACCTTTGACATGCAATATGGTGGCATGTAGATCAAGATGGCGGCTTAATTACAGCGGCACACCAAGACCGGGTGTGGCCGGCGCGATGCTGAGACACCCCAGCCGGCCTGTGCTGCCCGGCCGCCACTGCGAATCTGGCAACTTCGAGTGACCGGCAGCCCCACGCTTCCAAGCGCGCCGGAGGAATTGCAAAGTTGCCAAGAAGCGATGCGTGCTAGCAATCCTGAGCATGACGTCTTCCTCGAGAGTAATAATGACACACCCAGAGCACGTGATTACCGACGCGCGAAGGCAGGCGCGGAACATGGTGACTGGCTTACCTTGCACGATTACCTCGATCGCGCCCTGCGGTGTGCTGTGTCCGTTGACCTCGCACATGTATTTGCCGCTGTCCTTGACCTGTACGGGGTCATACTTGAGCGCGAACGTTTCAGGCACGAGACTGATGCGGCCGTGGTTGTGAAACACGGTCGAGATGCCGTCCTTGTACTCGATGACCTTGGTCTGCAGCGAGTCATCGAGCGAAACGACGATACTCTCCATGCAGCCATAGCAGAGCCAGCTGAGCTCTGTCACCTGGCTGTGCGCGATGCCCGTCAGACCGAGACAGGGCACCGTCACGTTCGCACCCGCCCGCGTGTGCATCAGCGTTGTCCGAGCCAGACAGCCTGCGGACGGAGAGCGGCAGTCAGCAGTCAGCAGCGGCTGGGTACAGGGCACCGTCACGTTCGCACCCGCCCGCGTGTGCGTCAGCGTTGTCCGAGCCAGACAGCCTGCGGACGGAGAGCGGCAGTCAGCAGCGGCTGGGTACAGTGAGCAGCGCCGCCAAATACCCACCGAAACGAAACACCTCAAACAAGGTTGAGATTAAAAATAATGTAACGCCATATATCTAATGTTAATTTGCTGAAATGTTAGGGATGCAACTGCGTGCCCAGTTAACATGAAAGTTAGGCCCACAAATACGAACACTGTTCAGCAAGGCTGCACGTTGCTGATGGGAGTAGCCAGACGGGCTGTGACGTGGTGAGCTGTTACACGGCGCGGATGCACTTACATCTGGCGGACAGCGGTGTCAGGGGTTCAGGGGCTCTGCACCAGTCGAAGCAAAGCTCAATAAAACAACGGCGAATGGGTCGTGAACTGTCTTGCGAAGCTTTTACGAAATGGCTTTCTGAGGCTCCTTGCCTGTATCAGCAAACCAAACTAGCCGGCACATATCGACCATACGTGCTTGGTAAGTTTTGACATTCGCCGCCACAATCAATCGGACGCCACAATCACATCCAGCTTCTTCTAACCGCTCTGAAGAAGAACCGACTTATGCCTGTCATGCGTGTTGTAATGTTTGCTTGTTATGTCATATATATGCATTGTATATACATTGTTTATCATCAGCATATATTTTTGGAACAATCCAACATTTCGCACGACGCTGTGATATTTCGCTAGCCCTGTATGTTTCCGTTTTCCGTTCTCTGCTAAGTTCATAAAGTGGCGCTCCTTGCACGTCGGTATCCGACTATTACACCGTTTATTCGCATCTTATGACCAAACTGTTTCAGCTGGCACGCTGAAATGTTCGGACTCTGCCCAGCTATTGTGAAATATATTTTGGCAACTCAGTTTAGGAACCCACTTAACCAGGATAGGTCACGATTCCAGTTTAGCAGGCCATTCAGTTTACCGGAATAAGGAAGTGAATCAAAAAGTGACCGATGTTATGCGCTTGTGTTTGAGTGTAACCGACGCATGCTGTCACCTCAAAATAGATCTCCCCGCCGTCGTTCTTACTGTTCGTGGCTTGACCGCAGAATTGACCCGCGACTTCTGGTGCGGCATCGCAATGATACTTGCCGAGTACGGTGCGAATTTCGGGCCGACAAGAACCTGTTGGCCTACCGATACCTCCGGAACCGCGTGAAAGGCTACTTTGCAAGGTCGAGGCGTAGTTTCTTCTGCGATGCCACGCTCGCCGACTGTGACGTTCCTGGCGAAGCACTAAAAACTTCACCTTTCAGCCAGCGACGAATATCGCTTTCGCTGTACCGCGCGTCGCTGCCGCACTGGTCTGCGGGTAACCTCGGCAGTTCCCGTCTTCCACCAAAACCGCCGTCTGTGACCACTGCTGGCCTAAGACTGCGTCCTACGATTTTTCCCGGACTATTGAGGGCTATGAACGAGCTGTGATCATCCAAGGCGGTGGGACTTGACGGCATGTCGCTACATGCGTTACGTAGAAATTTCCTTGTTATCGGACCACATTTGCTCTATATCATCAACACATCTGTCAGCTCCAGCGCTTTTCTTAATGCCTGGGAGGCTACTCCGGCATCCCTTTTCAGAAGTTTGGCCCTCTTGCACTGCTGGTAACTTTGGGCCTATACCAATGGTACCCGTACTGTCTAAGATATTAAAAAGTCGTGTGCATACAGCTATCGTCCTATCTCGTTGCCCACGGCCGTTTACATCCATCACCGTACTCATGCAGACCTTGTCACTGAACAGAGGACGCCCTGCTCGACGCCGGTGAGTGAGCGGTGCATCGGATCGACGGTGATAACATGGTCGCCTTCACCGTGACTGATCTCAGCCGATATCAGCCTGATAGCGTCGTCCATGACATCCTCCTGACAAAGCTGCAGCGCTATGACATTGGTCCGAGGTGATTTGAGAGCCATCCTGTCGGTCGGTGGTAGGTAATATGAGGGACTTTTTGCCCTTTTTCACTGACCCATGACGTCTCTTGGGGATCCTTGGTCGGCCCAATCCGCTTCAGTATCTTCACGAACGAACTTCAGTCTTACCTCTCTCAGAGGTCTTGTCATATGACGATACCCACCTGCTAGACTTCGCTCATTCCGACCAACTATCCGTTTTGAATTCCCGACAAGCGGAAACCACCGAAGTGATTTAATCCTATTTTACACCCGCTTCCCTCAAAATGTATTTAAAAGACAGCCCTTCTCCTTTCGAAACTTCTGAATATCTGAATACAACGTTATCATCCCTTTGACAGTGCTTGAAACAAATCAAGCCACTCGCCGTCGATGAAGATGCTGGGGTTGTTATTGAAAATACGCGTTCCTGGGGCATGCATATAACTGGTACTGTCAAAAACAGAAACTCCATTCTTGTCTGATTGTATAACACTCGCCGTCACCTCACGCCCGAGGTTCGTTAGCTCCTTATTTCGCCCGACATTTCCCCCATTTTCTACACTGCCTCTTGGTCTGCGGTGGGACTGCAGCGTATCATCTAAGCCGGGTCCATGGGGTGATGAACTCAGGGGCCAGGATCGTTATCGGGGTTCGATGGCGAGATTCAATGGCGGCGACTGTCCAAGCGCAGAGCTGGAGCGGTGTTAATGACCTTGTCACACACCGTGAAGCCCCACTGTGTTCCGGATCCTCAAAGGGCATGTTTCGTATCTGAAGATATTGAAGCAAGCATCAGATACAAACAAACAAGCTGACATGCATTTATTGGTAAGCTTTTACGTGCAAAAACCTGCTGTAGACATAACAATTTTACTATTTAGTACACATGCTCCTCAATATGGCATTGTTTGACGGCGCTATGAAATGTTTGTATGCCGTCAGAGGGGCTGCCAAACTAACGGTGCGGAATTCCTATAGCAGCGGACGGGTGACTCACTTGTAGTACTCAATCTTCTCGAGAGGTGTCGTGATATCCGTGCGTTCCTGGCAGAACCCAGATATCGCCATATGTGCGTGTTTCGGCCCCGTCTGGTGGTGTTCTCGCATATTAAACATTGGTTTTATAGTTTTTATTTGTGTTTAAATTGTTGTCTACGGTGTTACTCCCAAGCTATTTGATTATCAGACTTATTTCCGTCATAACTAGTACCACAGTCCAACTTGCTGTATTTTGAGTCACAAAATGTGATCCGTATTGGAGTATTCGTATCGGATTCATGCGTCCCTTTTATCTGCAATCTTGCTTCGTCCTGCGTTCTCGCGACACACCGCTTGTCCGGGGCAGGCTGCATACGTCAGCCACGAGTGGGCCGAGATCCCCATGGCAAAGGGGACCCCGACCGGGTACCCGCGCATGCGGGGGTTAAAGCTCGGCGGCTGTCCCCCCCCCCCCCCCCAGGCGCACGCACGTCTGCCCCATCGTGAACTATTTTTCTTCATCCCATAGCCCTGAATTGATCATGTCTGGTCGTAAGGACTCTATCCAAAAACCATCGTATTGGAAACTTGCACTCCACACGTAGCATTGCTTTCTTGCTAATCGAAGTTTGTTGTTGCCACAAATCGGGCTGATATACGCCAGGCACGAATAACTCGACGACAGTATCTGAATTGGGCCTAAGCATCGCATGGCCAATGAGCGGCAGTATTTGCGCGACGTTTCTATAGTATTGTGTTTGACTGGGTGACACTGGAATAATCTGCACGAAATAGTCTGTACAAGTTCATGAGCGTCTAGCTCAGAAGCCAGAGGAGTCTTAGCAAGGACGGGGCCGCGATCTGCCCCAAATGATCCTTAAAATAGCTATGAGTTTAAAACCCCATAAAATGTGGCACGCTTTCTTTACTGACTCGCGGACTCCAGTGGTGATCCGGTCCCTGTTCACCTCAAGTACCGCTGTATGCCAGCGTGCCACCCGGGCGGCAGCTGAAGGCGCCATTAATCTGCCAGCTCTTCGTCTGTCGGTGGTATACAAGGCTTTTCGCACGGGTTCATCCTGGACCCGCCTATTGCCGACCATTGCCGCCCCTCGCATCCGCAAGGACTTTCTAACCAAACTGAACGACGTGCTCCTCGTTATATAGCATGTTTTGACGATTAATGAGTATGTTCTTGACGAGGTGTGTGGACAACGGAATGATAGAAAATGTACGAATGTGGTCGCCTTGTCAATTTTTAATATTGTATTTATACTGCTATTATACTGTTACCGAAATAAGAAACACGCCAACTGTTGGGGATGTTTGCCGATAGAATTAACTTAGCCTTAAACCCAAGGGCTGCTCCAGGTAAATCCAGGTAATACCTACTCGGGTTAAGGATTTGAGAACGAATCGCGACATTTACAGGGACCTGCATTGATATGCTATTCCCTTCTGCTGAAAGTTGATGTTTCACTGGAATGCATGTATTGCCATCAATATATCATTGATGGCCTCAAGTACCAAGTACATGGATTGCATAAATTGACGGAATTAATTGTAATGTGTGGGTTTAGAGGCTTTACAGGTAACACAACATCACAATGAATCGGTGTTGGCTTCGGTACTAAAACCGACGTACCTTTGCCTACATACTGTTCGTTAGCCTTTTGCTCACGGACATTATGTGAGTGTTTGATGGCTTTTGTTTGATGGTCATGGTTTTCTGCTGACCATGTGTTTGAAGTAAAGGCGCGATGTTTCCGAAGGCAGATTAAGTAAGTGGCAGGAACAAAGCTGGGTAGAGCTATCAAAAGACCGTGGTCCAGAATTTTACCCGGGCTTTTTAAAATTTACTCCGAACGGTTTGCATTGGTGACTTCGGGTTCGTAATACCTGCTGAGCATAACTTGTTGCCTGTTCCCTGAACCCACCACCCAAGTCGTACCGTCCATTTTAACGGATGATTTTCCTCCGCCCGTGCACCAGACAGGAATGCGGACGGTGTTACGTGCCGCACAATGCTG